GGTTCAAGTAAATTGGAACATGTTAGGAAAAAAGCTGTAAGGACAATTGGAGAACTAGAGACAAAGTTCAATGGAGAGAAATTGAAGGAACTGGAAGCTCTAGAAAGAAAAGATTGAGCGGGAGGGCAGATTTCAACTGGATGTCAAGATTTTTGTAAGAGTAAGAGGAAATTTAACTGTGGAACTAATTATCCAGAGAAGTGTTGGGTTCCCACTATATATGTTCCAGTAAAGGTTAGACAGCTATCTATCGGAGATGCTTTAATTTACATTCTTGCACGGATCAAGGGGTTGATCTTGGTGACTTAAATAACCTCATCCATTGACAGTAAATTTAGTATGCAGTTCTTTGAGCTGCTAGCAGATCATTCTTCCCCCAACCTCCACTTAGAAGATGAATAGGGTTCATGTCAGTCTTCAAGGTAGACTAGACTAGGACAGTCATGCAGGCTAATACTACTTTTATTATAAAGTTAAAGTAACAGGATCTTGCCCTTCCCCCTCCCTTTATTTAAGTGAAAATTAGAGAGGGTATTGTTTGAGACTTTCCTCAGAGTACAGTTTGGTCCCAGACTCAGGTTTCTTTTATCTGATCATTTTCTTGCAGCAGCTCCTCCTCCTGTTCCTCAAGGTCATTTCTTCTGCCCATTATGATGCTCCTTAGTCTTAACATGGGGATCTTAGCTCTCCTTTATACAACACTGGGGCATTTAAAGAGAAGCTCTGCCACCATAACAACTAAGAGTCAGTTTGGTCTAATGCAGGGGTCTTCAAACTTGGCCCTTTTATGACTTGTGGACTTCAACTCCCAGAATTCCTCAGCCAGGCACGCCCCAGCGTGCCTGGCTGAGGAATTCTGGGAGTTGAAGTCCACAAGTCATAAAAGGGCCATGTTTGAAGACCCCTGGTCTAATGGTTAAAGAACCAGGTTCAAAACCGGGAGACTGTGAATTTTAGTCCTGCCTTAGGCATGAAAGGTAGCTGGGTGACTGTGAGCCAGTCATGCTCTCTCTGCCTAACTTACCTGACAACAGGGGTGGGGAACAATGGCCCCTTTATGATTTGTGGACTTCAGCTCTGCTGGCTCAGGAATTCTGGGAGTTGAAGTCCACAAGTCATAAAGGGGCCATCATTCCCCACCTCTGCCTTACAAGGTTGATGTTATGGGGAAAATACAAGAAAGGAGCACTCACCACCTTGAATTATTTATAAAATAATAATAAAGGCAGGATAATAAATAAATTAAATACAAAAAAATAAATCTAGTTTAGCTTCCACCTTCAACTGTCAGATGATCCAATGGAAGTTAGAGTAAATCACTATACATCGTACTTTTAGCTTCCACTTGATACTAAGTTGCTGGAATATGTAAACTTGCTTTTGCTACTGTTGAAGGAAAAGTCTTCATCAGGGTCCAGTCCAAGCTGGGAATAAACAACATGGCGACTGCTTTAGAAAGAAGGTTGCAGTTTATTGAAGAGGAGAGCCAGACAGAAAGATGGCTCTGGAAGAAAAGAGTATGAGCACATGTAGGGAGTGGGTTTTTATATCCTCTGGGGCTCTTGAGGTTGTTTCCTGTTCCTGTTTGACGCTTTGTATTTCCTGTGTCATGTACTTTGATCTGATTCTGAGTGTCCCTTTGGCCTCTGTGGGTTAATCCTATTATGTCCTGTCTTATCCTTTGGGTGGGGTATGTAGATTTTAGATGTCTTTGTCTTCCTAAGCTTCTAGCTGGAGGGCTCCAACCTTCCTGAATGGATTATTACATCTGCATTTCTACAGGGTTATTAAGAAAAACTGGGCATGCTTTTCTGTCTCTTTAAGATCCTTTGAGGAAATATAATATTCTGCCCTTTTAATATTTCCTTCTCTGGGGGGGGGGGCTGACTTCTCACATTACCTAAAAGTTTTATGTATCTTGTGCTCACCTCAGTGTAACAAAGAATTAATAACCTGCTGGACCTAATAGGAAAAGCAAAGAAAAACAATTAATGGATGGATCATTCCAGTTTTGAAAAAAGTTAGAATAAGGACCATATTACACATGAAAAATACTGCTATATACTAATATTGTTGTATGTACTAGAGTTGCTGATTGTAAAATGGCAAGGACATGATGTATTGCACATGCTTGAAAGTCTGAAAGCAAGCAATCAAAGTTAAAAGACCAAGGCTGTAAACAGCACTGAATTAAAATCAATATATAAGTCCAAGAAGGAAATGCAGCAGTTCAGAGATTGTAAAATAACAATCCCTAGTAATTATCAGCCTCTTATAGTCCCTTTAAACCACCTAAAAAGAGGCATCTGGATTAAGGAAAGCGTAGGAGGACAGTTGTGAGAATTTTCCTGGAAAGACGTTAAGGAGTTAAACTGCAACTGAAAATGCCTGGTTTTCAACTATACCTGTTAAACTTGGGAATGATGGGTATGTTTTGTGTATTGGGACTTTTCCGCTGGCTAAGAATTTTGGCTGATATGAGCCTAATACATCTGAAAAAGCTCCAAGTCAGTTTTGTTTTTTGTTTTTTGTATCGGTAACCTGATTCCTAGCAACTGAGGATTTTGAAAGAGAGAACAAGAGGTTCTTGAATGAATCCTGTTTGTAATATTTTAAAATATGTTTTGGTATTTGTCTGCTACTCTTCTGAGTGGGACCCAAAACAAAAGTCTGATGGAAATTTTATTCAAAAGATACAGCAAGAAAACACGATTACTTTTCCTAATACTGATAGAGCAGACATGTCAAACACAAGGCCCAGGGGCCGGATGCGGCCCGCGAAGTGGTTTCATGTGGCCCGCAAAGCCATCCTGGAAACAGTGAGAGAATGGCCCCCGCTGCCTTGGCCCTGGCCCAGGCCGGCCGGGAGCCAATGTACAATTTTGTGGTGGCCATCTATGCTGAAACACATTCAGTCTTAGCTCCACAAGGCCGTCTAGAAACAGCAAGAAACCAGCCCCTGCCGTGTCGGCCCCGCCCCCTGGGTGCATGCTGGGGAAGTGTCACCCTTTGTGAGGAATGAAGAAATGGACCATCCCTTGGCGTTTGCCCCGGTCCCACCCCCTTCTGCCAGAGACCCTCAGATCTGCCCCACTCCTGCCCAGGCCCCCACAGGCACCCTTGACGCAAACAATGTAGAGCTGGCCACGCCCACCCAGCAGGCCACACCCACTCCATCCACGCCCACCTAGTAGGCCGCACCCACCCAGTAGGCCACACCCACCCTGGCCACACCCACCCAGCCCCCCAAGGGCAACCGCAAGGGCAACCGCAATGCTGATGCGGCCCTCAATGAAATTGAGTTTGACACCCCTGTTTGAAATCAAAAGAAGAAAAATACAAATGCAGCAGATTTTAGATAGCAAAAGAAAAGGCAAATAAATATTCCAGTGTTTCTGAAAAATTTCA